TATTGAATTTGTCTAAATATTTTTTAAATTAATTACATAACTAAATAATATTAATGTATATTAAATATTTACCATTATATAATAATGACACTATACAACAATAAATTGATAAAATAAATAATAGTTGAGTATTATGATGGAAAAAATAAATAAAATTATTATTTTGTCTATATCAAAAAATAAATATAGATATCGAATTATTATTTGTTAATTTAAACGGTTAGCAAGCTAATATATAATTAAAATAATATATTTTTAAAAAAAATTAAGAAATAAACCCGCCATGCATAGCACGTGATACTCACTAATATATATATATATATATATATATATATATATATTATAATCAGGTAATTGATTTTATTTGTATTTAATTTGTCCCCACCCAAAACATAGTGGTTAACTTAACTAGTATTCGACCTGTGCATTTGCACAAATATAAATAAAGTATTGTGAGTTATTTGTATTCATATAATAATTAATAATTTTTCTTGCACTTTTTGCAGACCAAATTTACAATCAAAGGAGCTGAAATATTTATTATTTTAAATTACGTTTATCATATTGGATGTAATGTATATTTTGGTATGTATTTTTTTTTTTGTGAATTATTTATTATTTATTTAGGAATTTCAAATACGTTTTTTTATTTTCTAAAAAAGTTAATTTAAATGTAACCACAACAATAATATCTAATCACGTTAAATAGTTAACATATTATATAGTCAGCTGTAAGTAAATCAAAAGTTTAAAATAATTTTTATAATTTTGAAGTGATTAGTGTGTTGTTTATCTTATAATTAAATGAGAGGTTAAATAAATAAAAAGTAACGGTTTTTTGAAGTATAATTTAATAGGTTTTATTAAATGTCCATGAGCCATCAATTATATATATATAGATTTGCCAATTTTCTCTTTCGAATATTCACTTGCATTTTCTACCTATGGTTTTGCTATAGAGCCATCGGATGACTCAGCTTATGGAGTCATACACTATTATTCACAAATGATGTATTTGGCACGTGTCCTGCAATAAATGTATATTGAACATGCGTCAGTACATAAATTTATAGATGACTCCATAAGAGAGACATCCGATGACTCCATAGAATTTTTGTTTCCACCTAATCCAAAGATTCCAAACACTATAATTAATTAACAATAGTAACAATAAAAACAAAACCGTACAAATTTATAATTAATTAATACAAAGATTCCATGCACATTAATTGGCCAATGAGGATTTTTATTTTTTGAAAATATTTGGCAATGTTGTAGATTTAATTATAATTAATTAATAATAATTTAAGGTACTTTCGGCGAGCTCACCTAAATGGCATAAGTGACAAAAATTTGTAATTCCAAATTGTATATATATTATAATTTAGTGACAGATTTCAGATCTTTAATTGACCCACCGGCCGCTCAGACGCAATATGTCCGTTCAAACCCATAACCAATGGTTAACAAGTTACGTGAAATAACTTGTAAAAAATAATGTTTCAAATCTTATAAAAAATTTGCTACTAATTAATGTGGTAAAGGAACGAATGAATGAAGGAAAAATTCTGTCGGGATTTGTAACCGTTAGATCATCATGTAACAGTCGTGAATAGTTGATTTAACGGTTACAAACACCGACGAAATAATTCTATAAGGACATAGTAGCATCTCTCCGAGTTTTGTATTGAATTTTGGTATAAACACTATATGGACTACTTAAATAGCCCTATTCAATAATCATTAATGATAAGGTTTGAGGTAACTAGACATCTCTGGAACTCCAAGCCAGCCCGCTTTGCTCATCGAAATACATAGAAAAGCGTCGAGAGGGTTCTCGATGTAAATTTTTCGACAATCAAGTCAACTTTTTCTGTGTATGGATGAATAATGTGTGAAAATGTAATTAACAATACTAATAGAATTAACGAGAGAACCCCTCTATGGCAAAAACCCTTTTCCTTATATATGAAAATAATTACTTGGTGCCCAAAATGTCTTGTGGCTAAAGAACCTTATTCGGGGCATACAAGAGTTGATGGCCCGTCCTTGGGAGTTTGAGCTTATTCATGGCCATCGCGAGACAAACGTTGTGGCGGATTTTTTGGCCTCCCTTGCGGCTAAGGGGGCGAGTGGCTTACACCGGTTTGAACGGCCTCCGTCGGGGGCCGGTCCTTGGTTACAACATGATCTCGTTGGAGTGTCTCACCCACGCCGGATCGTGATCGAGCGCTAGCTTTAGCTTCGCTTTCCTTTTCCTGTACCAAAAAAAAAGAATATCTTGGGTCATGTGAATAAATAGACTCTCGTCAGACCAGTTCGACTAATCAGTTCTTCAGTCAAGTAGGTCATTAGGTCGAGATAAATCAACTTATAACGCCTCTGGAAGAACTTACGTACTCAACTGAGTCGACCTATAAAGCCCCGACTTAGGTCGAGCCGAAAGAGCTCCGATCCTTGACCGATTTGTTATATATATCTATTAATACCTGATGATTAACTATAATTAAACTCTTGATTATTTGATTTTGAACTTATATGTTGTTGACCAAGGCAAATTTTTATATTGGGTTATATCAAGTTATTATTGGCTCATGTCTAGAAAATGTACATCAATTTAGCGCACATTAAACTTTACAATGTATAGCCGATTTTTTTTTTTTTTTTTTTTTCAAAAAAAAGTACATACATTAATCATGAGGAGGCGGGATAGAAATTTCGAGTGGGGTAATGAATTATTTTAAACTTAGGTTAACTACTCGTGAGTTCAATTAAGTATTAAGCTAAGAGATCTTGTTTGAGTTTTTTATGATCATGCCAAATGGAGCCAAACCTAGTATATATATAACACCTTATACATGTGAAAAATAGAATCATCGTATATGCTTTCTTTTGCTTCAACCTTTCATAAACCCTTCTATATAAGATCTCTCAGCACACACACACACTCTTACTCGATAGTACACACACTGGATTTCAACTAGGAAGTCGTTAATTGCAAATGCGGTGTCATCAAGATTCACATTTCGACTATGAGCCGTAAATTAATGAGAATCTTGATGATGCTGCATTAGCAATTTACCGGCTCGCAATATAAGTAATTGGCGGTCAACTATGATAATTTATGGCTACGGTAATTATGTAGTGTTTCTCCTGTTTTAGATTTTTTTCGAGTAATATTTTATAATAACCTTTATTTAGCTTGGTATTAATGTTCCCTATGGAATGGGGCTTTTGTTCTTCCTTAGATTTATAATGTCCTTTATTAGCTTGGTATTAATGTTCCCTATGGAATGGGGGCATTTGTCCTTTCTTAGTTTGCAGGTAGGTAAACGGAAGAGTGTATAGGTGAAGGTAAAAATATTGGTTTGTGTTGAATGTGTAAATTACGATGATGCGTGATAGGTTCTCTTGATACAGCATCTTAGATTTTATTTCTCTTAGGATTATAAATTGTGAACAAATTGAATAAATATTCAAAATATTTGAACTGATCATGGCATGGCAATGGGACAGGTCGGGTTGGTAGTTCAGTACCCAGACCTGCGAGCTGATAGTACAAGTCATGATATGCCATAAATCATTCAATGAAATATCTGTAGATATACTTGTTGACATTGAGATGAGTTGGGTGGACCCATACTAAATACGATGCTTAATGAAGAAAGAGTCGAGCTGAATACTTGAGTCAGGAGATTAAGAGCGAAAATCAAACCCAAGAGTAAAAATAGTAGGGTACAGAGCGAGAATCAAGCAGGACACCCAGGTCGAGTAACCATAAGTGTGCCAATAGAACCGAGTTCTAAACTTATATAAAAATAGCCAAAGGTTAATATCGAAGACCGAGCCAAGCGCATTAAGGCGTGAAAATATTAAAATAACGACTTGGCCTAATGATGAAGGATGAGATAAGGCCACCAAATGTCTGTCAGCCTACGTGTCATAGCCTCATAGGGTTACATATCGCATTAAATGCGTGTCCTTTTCATTTAATACTTGATGTATTGCCTAATGAACAATAGTAATTAGGTCATCATTATTCTAAATAGTCTTATGAACCATTTGTAAAAGGGTTCAGAAGATTCTCTCGACACAAGACATAAAATTCTCCATTAAATACAACATTAAATATAGGTTAAACACAAACACCCGAGCTCACCATCAAAATATCCAACCTCATTCTTTTTTTTTCTCGTACTTTCAGCATATTATATTGAATTAAAGTAGCATAAACATCATATTAACAATACTAATCCACCATTATCAGTTGATCAAATTTGTTGGGCAACAATACTATTAAAGACCCCAACTAAAAATGCAAATGCATCATATTAGTCCAGGAAAGTTGGAAGAAAACCAAAAAGAATTGTACGTGCAATGATCATACGGACCTCCTGACACTGATTTACCGACTCAACCACCGAATCATCAAATTAATTATTGTCGGGTCAGTGCCCGAGTCAGTCAAATCTAGGGTGGGTAGATCGTCGCGTTTGGATTCTTGACCAATCCAAAAGAAAGTGGTTTGAAACCTAAACGACCAATTTAGAATAGGATCGATCAGTTTTTACTATCTTAGTGTGGCACGGCTTTAACACAAATACAATATATTTCTCATTAGGAAAGTCGAGAGGAAAAAAAAAAGAAGTACCGAGCGAATCCATATGACTGACGTATGATTTAACAGTCGAATCATCGAATTAATTGTTGTCGGGTCAATGCACGAGTCAATCGTCGGTCGGAATCTTAGTGGCATGGAATATGTGACATGTCCACAAAAAAAAAAAAAAATGTAGAAAAAAACAACAAATTTGAGACCACGTGTAAAGTTCAGTATCAAGTGAGAAAATGCTCAGTCGTGTCTCTTTCCTCGCCTTTCCCAAACTCCTCTCGCTCTATCTGCAAACAATGGAGGAGAAGAACACTAGCAAACCTGCAACGTCCGATAAAGATAACAACTTGCAAATAAAGTTTGGATTTTTAGCCGCCCTTCTGCGAGCATGGCTTTGGCAAATGCATCCCTTTTAGCTTTCCGGCCGCTCTCTTCTCCTCCTCCTCCTCCTTCGCCTTCATCCTCGCGCTCACACTTTCCGGCGACAGATTTTCGAAAACCGCCGTTTGAATTGACCGGAAAAAGACATTGCAGGTCTAATTTTATTTCCACATTTGCCCTTGAAAAGGGTGGAATTTGTGAGGCTGAGGATTTAGGTTTGGAGAAGGAAGATAATGGCGATGATGATGAGCTGCTGGGAGTATCCCACGAGACGACAGAGACTCTCTTGTACTCGTTCTCTCCTTTGAATTTGCTGCTCTTGGCTGCTCTGCCTGGAGGTAATGTGATGTGTCCCACTAAGATTTTTATCGAATTTTCGGAATTTTAATCTGTAATTTGAATCATTTTGTTGAGAGTTTTTTTATGAATTTGAGGAAGTTTCTTGATTGTCGTTGGATTTGGCTTTTGGGGTTTGCAGTTTGCACCATTGTGTGTATATATGGGTGAGTTTGATGTTTATGTTACTTTTTTGTTAAGTGGTAGTTGTATTTTACTTGTGAATGTAAAAAATACAGTTTGAGGAGCCTTAAGGTTTGGCCTTGTGTGATCGTGAGGATTGCGAGCTTTTCGAGGAAAAAATGTCGTATCTGTAACTAATGATGTAGAAATACAGTGAGATCGACCGATTATAGTTTATTGGATGCAATGAATGCCACACTGAACTAGTGTGATTCTATTGTTGTATTGAAGTTTTTCAGAAAGGAGTCGCTACTAACATCAGAATACATAAACTTGAATCTTGCAGTAAACGATGTAGTTTCAATTGCAAGAGCCAGTGAGTGCCCTTTGTTTTACATTTCGAAACTTACAACACAACAAGTAAGAGAAAAGAGACATAGTTTCAAGGCATATTGTAGCACTATTTAATCCTGCATTCACCCTACTATTTAATCCTGCATTCACCCTAACACAGACGATTAGCTTTCTACTACTTTCTCTCCATTCCATTCTTCAGTTTGTGTTATCACTGACACGATCCTTTTAATTCAGCTACAACCGTGACATCTTTATTCAGCCCTTTTGTTGAGCTCGTGAAGTCATTGAACCTTCCGGATTGGCTTGTGCACTGGGGTCACCCCGGGAACATGGTACTCCTTTTTTGTCCTAATTCATGTGTCCACTTATTAAAAGAGTGAAAATGTCCTAAAATCGATATTTTTATACGACAAACTTCTCATAAATTTCTGTAGGCCGTTGTGTTGTTTGCCATGGGCGGTTATGGAACTTATTTGGGATTTCGCATTCGTTTTTCGAATGATGTGGTAAGAATTACACTGATTGCAATATGTGCTTTCACATCATTACATAAAATTTTGTTGCGACACATCTTTTGTACAGAGTCAAATTTACTCTTTCGTTTTTCTTTTCAATAGGAGGAGAAGGCTAAGGCCAAAGATTTGCACCCGAAGCTTCTCGGAGGAATGTTTTTTTTCTTTGCTCTCGGGGCTACCGGTGGAGTAACATCCCTTCTCACATCAGACAAGCCCATCTTTGAAAGGTGACTATATTTATTTTCGCTGTGAATGTGTTTGGTAAGCATAAAAGTTAGCTTATAGCTTATTTGATTAGCTTATAAGCTTTCTGTATTAAAAAAAACGAAGATTTGGTAGGAAGAACTTTTTTAAAATGCTCGAGCTTATCTCATAAGCTTCCTTAGGTAGCTTTTCAAATAAGCTAATTGAAATTATTATTTCAGCTATCAGCTAATTTTACTCAACACTTTTATCATATAAGCTAGATTTTTAACCATAAGCATAAGCTTGAAATTACTTAAAAGCTAGTAAGTTAGATTATCAGCTAGGTTTACCAAACATAGTCTGTCTATGCAAGTATAACTCTTATCTCAAAGTGAAAACTAATCTTTCGTCATCCTCCTTTTCTTTCTATTGTAGTCCTCATGCTGTAACAGCCTTCATTGGCCTAGCTCTCTTAACAATTCAAACGATTTTGCCAGCACTATTCGAGGTGAACTTTACATAACAACTATCGATATTTGTTTAGTGGCTTTTATTTGTTAATCTCATGCTTTCGTTATATTTTCGTGGTATTTAGGGCAACCCCGGATTGCGTAATGTTCATGGAATTTTGGGCAGTGGCATTATGACATTGTTCCTTGTTCATGCTGCCCTCGGACTTCAGCTTGGACTGAGTTACTGAGGCTCGAAATCAATATTTCGTCGTAGATTCATTTTTTGGAAAAAAAAAATATGAATATGAATTGTGGGAATGTAATGTGATGTTGGCAACAATTTGGTAGATGCAAAATATATTCGTGCAAGGTTAGCTGCGTTCTATAGCGACTTTTACCAACCCATGCTTGTGACAATTTGCTGCCATTTTTGACAATTTTCATGAAAATGAAAATAAAATAAAATAAAAGAAGTAAACATAAATATAATTTACCAAAGTTTTTTAACATTTTTCCAATTTTTCACAATTGCAGCTCAAGATAGTTCTTTCACCAACCCACGTGCACTTTTAGCTGCACTGGGTACAACACTTCAAACTCTTTGAAATCACCTTTGACAATGACCATCCCACCCAACATATCGTCCAACCTGTCCCGAGTCCAGACCGTTGATCGACCATTCAATCGCCACCTGGCACCGTGTCACTTTTATTACTGTCTTTTAAATCGCCATGTAGACTCCCGACAAGACAAGTATACACCCTATCATCCGGAACCAAACCCGCCCCTTTCATCTCATCGTACAGCTCAAAAGCCTCCTTAGACCGCCCCTCTTTTGCCAAACCCGAAATCAACACCGTGTACGTGACAACACTAGGCGCCAGCCCCTTCGAGCGCATTTCCCTAAATACCATCAAGCCATCGTCCACATTTCCAAACATACATTCCCCATGCACGAGCGACGTGTACGTGTAAACATCTGACAAAAACCCCTTTCCCTCCATTTTCTCCCGTAGCCCGCGCGCTTTCTCCATTTTGCCCTTCTTGCAATACCCATCCATCAACACATTATAAGTCACGGCATTCGGCTCGACCCCTTTTTCCTCCATCTCGTCGAGAATATTCTCCGCACAGACCAAATCGCCCTCCTTGACGTATATATTGACGAGTGTTGTGTAAGAAAAGGTGTTTAGTCCCGAGCGCTTATCCGCCATTGAGAAGATTAATTCTTTCGCTTGCTCGTGACGGTTGACTTTGCAAAGACCGCTCGCGAGTATATTGCACGAGTAAATATCGGGCCCGAGCCCTTTCTTCTCCATAATATCACGTACTTTGCAAGCCTCATCGATTAACCCTTGCTTGCAATAACCGTCCATCAATGTGTTGAAAATGATTCGGTTAGCATCTATGCCTCTTCTCTGCATATCCTCGAACAATGTCATTGCAGCATCCATTTTCCCCGTTTTGCACACGCCATGAAGCAGAGAGCCGTAAGTCTGCACGTTTGGCTCAAGACCCTTATCCGCCAGCTCGTCGAATAAAGCAAGTGCCCTCTTGAGGTCGCCCGATTTACCGTATAAACTTATCATGGAAGTGTACACGTTTATATCGGGATATAAGCCCTTCTCGGACATTTTCTCAAACACCTTCTCTGCATCTCGGGTTTTTGAAAGTCTAGCATGGAAGTTGATTAGAATATTGTAAGTCGCCACACTGAAATCAACCCCAGTTTTGTCCATGTCAGCCAATATTTGTTCAACTCCTTTCGTATCAGATTTCTTCATATAAGCATCTAACAATGTGTTAAAAGTGAAAGCATTTGGTTTGGTCCCTTTTCGGGACATAACATCCAATAGTTTCCTGGCTTTCTCGAGTTCGCCTCTCTTACACAATCCATCAATCACGATTGTCAGCGAGTGTACTTTGATCGTCACATTAGATTCGATCATTCTCTGGAAAAAACTATACTGTGACTCGAATTGGCCGGATTTTTTTAACGCAATCAGGTAGATCGTGCAAGAGCGCTCATCAACTGCAAACCCATTTTTCACCATGTACTCGAACAAATCCAACCCCTCATCAAATTTTTTAACATCGGCGTATAACCTAAATAACATATCAAGAAACTTGGATTTAATTCTGGGTTCGACTAAAAAATGATTTTGATCAGCTAGAGAAACAATTTCTTGGCATGGGCGCCGGAGATTCTCATCCGAAACAGCAGCTTCCAAGACACTCTTGGCCTCTTCAAATCTTCTGGCTTCAAACAGCCGCTGAACAATTGTGATGTGGGCTTCCAAATTGGGAGTATGCAGTTTAACCAGGTGGCTTCTTGAGAGAAATTTGAAGAAGCGGAAGCATGCAGGTACAGGGATTTTCCGATTTGAGAGGACAAGATGGGTTATGTGAGGATTTAAATTTGAAATTAAGGACTTTGGAAAATGGGGATAGTTTGAGGTGGAATTAATTAGGGCTTTAGCAATCAAATCGGCAGCCTGTCGGTCATTGAGTTTCGAAGCTTTACCAGAGCAGAAAACTTCTTTCGCAATGGTGTAAAGCTTTTGGTTAGACATTAGAATAGCAGAACGGCGTAAGCTCAAAGATTTTCCGGGTGTTCTTCACTGACAGAGACGGAGGTGGAAAGGAAGGTGTCCATTTAGTATCTGAAAATGTGGTTTCCATATATGGTTTAGTATTTAATTAAACCTTTAAATCCCAAAATTAGCGGCATAAAGTGTATGTAATAGCCAAGAGTAGATAATACATCATTGAAACAAAAACTTTCTCCATCAATGAAACAGAAATAAGAACAAACTCAGAATATGTTGAAAGCAAAAGAAATGAATAGACCTACAGAGATATAATCGAATAACGTCTTCTAAACAAAACGAAGTTCAGATCCTTGAATGATAATCGCAATATTCCTTGGGAAAAATAAATGCTCGACGACATCAGAATTTCATGAATTCAAACGCCGCTCATAACATTTCGTAAGAAATTCTTATACATAACAGAGAATTCATCATTATCTCACCACATTTCTTTCTAGAATCAGATAAAAAAAGGTACCAAATCAGCCAAGAATCGAATTTGAAACACGAAATTGCAATTCATTTATACACAGAACAAAACAATGCGCAGAAAAGCAGAGCCCTTTACAATACCTTCCAATCATTTAAAGCACACAAACCTATAAAAACTTCTAGCACACATTTGGAAATACAAGCAAAGCGATTAAAAAAAAAATCAATATTCAGCAAAGAGATATCAAATTTGTGGCAGAACAACAACTAATTAGAGCCTCTCTAATCCTTTAGAATCCAAAATCATAGCTCCGTACCAATATAACAAAATACATATTAAGGGATTATGGATTTAGGGTTTGGGCAATTGAAATTGGACGATTGGGAAGTAGGGACTTACCTCTTTGGAGCTTGTTTTGAGGCACCGAGTTCGTCACGCTGGCCGCCGATTGCCGTCTGAAGATCGGAGATGTTACTGAGAGCCGGAAGTGTGGACGGCGGAGGAGATTGTTATGTGTTCTCTTCTTCCAGCCGTGTTCTGCAACTTCTGTTACACTTTTTTCAATAATATAAAAGGGATATGTTTATTTAATGTAGTAATATATTTTCTTGGTTAACCTTTAAATTATTAATTTTTTAATTATGTCATAAAAAATTTAATGACTTATCACCTAAATATATGAGATTGACAATCTCCAGATTCTACAATACTGTCCGGATTTGTAATTGTTATAACTCTATCAACAATGATTTATGGTTACATGATAATCTAACAGTTACAAATCTCGACGGAATGGTTCCATAACGAGACTGTAGTATTTCCCATCTCCATATTTATGTTTCAATCAATCATAACTTTTGAATTTCACCATGGAGCAGAAATAATCGAGTAATCAATTTTCAATAATTGAGGAAGAAATAAATTTTGGAAAAAAAAAAGAAAAAAAAAATGTGTTGTTGGATAATATTTTAGAAATGAACAGTTGATTTTTTTATTTTTTATTTTTAATCCTAATCATCTATCCTACATTTTTCTTCTTGATCCAATTAATATAATTAAACATAAAAATCAAACATTGATATAATTTTTTTTAACGAAGTTTACTATTAACTTATTCATTTACATTATTTACTTTACTATTGTTGTTTATACTTTTCAAATCACATTTTTAATTTATTTTTTCCTAAAACAATTTATATTTAATTACGCATTTATTCATCGATAATTTATTAGAATACAAAACTAAAGTTGATAAATGAAACGAGTGACTCGTAAACTCAACCCATCTCATTAAGGCTAAAAAATATAAATTTTTATATAATGTCATATACATCTCCATTCAATTATCAATTTATTTAGTTAATGAGCTTGAGTTCGGCTCGATAAAAAAAACTCA